GGCTGTCAACATGTCTGAAACTGATATTGATGGGTTAACTGGGAATTTTTTAGTAACTTTTACTACATTTTTTTTTCTTTGTTATATATTTTAACTTCAGAGTAAATTGCAAGAGAGGACACAAATAGAAACAGTCACCAAGCAGTAAAATATTGTTGAGTAAACTGGTGAATGTGTGACTGCCAGTTGAAGCCTTATCTTGTTGTTTGCTCTGCTTTCCTCACAGTCAAGCACACTTACACTTGTATGACATTTTGGCTCGGACAACATGTTTGTCAATGTGCTGTTGTAACAAAGTTAGACCTGATTCATTCTGCTGTTGAAAATGTACAATCTGCAGCTTGAAGTGAACATTCAGTCCATTCATCTGTGATGATTTCCTCGGCAGAGGAAGCTGTCGCTGCAGTGAGCTACCAAAATCTCCCACCTCCATCTGTGTTTGATTTTTTATTTGACTTGCTGAAGAAAAAAACATTATAGTTGGTTCCAAAAAAGGAGTTCTGAAATTAAACCAAGAAAGTAGGGTCAGCGTTTCGGGATATTTGTGTAGTTGGAACACATTGGTGTTATAAAATGCTTAATCCTGTATATAGATTGCTGATTGTATCATCTTCAGAGTTAATAATATGGATGTGAGTGGGCTTCAGCCCTCAATTGGTACTGTGAGTGATGATGATGGGGGAGGAAGAGGACTGATGGAAGTTATTTGAGGATGTTTGTCATGATGATTAGAGTAAAGTTAGATGATGTGAAAAAGAAAATATGTATTTCTTGTGTGTGGCACATTGATTGTCATGTGTGTGAACTCACAGAAACGCACTGTGTGTGAAAACACATCATTTTTACAATGACACATTGAATATTCTGTTTGTGTGTCGAGATTTAATTGGCTGAACTGTTAAATAATAAGTGAGTTGTACACGCCATTCTCTGTAGACGTTGTGTGTGCTTGCCTCTCCATGAGAAGGATAAGGAAAAATACATCATCCCCCAGGGGCTCTCACCTTAAAGGGGTGATTTGCCTGCTGGCTTGCTCTTCCTAAAGGCTTGGCTGACATGCTTTGATGTGTTTCTGCGCTCCCTGCTGTTTGATTGGCACGCTGGATTAATGTTGTTCCACAGATGAAAGAATTAGCAAGTGATAGGATTATTATGAAATGAAAATGGCAAACATTGAACGTGATTTATGAATTGGTTATGTTTGCAAAGTGCTTTTCATGTTAAGCTCTGGACAGGTGTCCCTCTCCTCGGTATGATCTGCTCACTGAGCAGCTAATACAAAAATGAGGCTCTTTTGGGGGCTATATTTTTCTGCTCCTGTCTCTAGTATTCCCTCTTCACCACAAGTCTGCCTCTAACATCAGAGTAATGTGCAGCGACGAGCCAGATGCTGTCCTGTGATGGTCGGTAAGCACTGACACCTCAAAGAGCTCGACTGTTTACTCTGGTCATTCTTTGCCCCTCCACACAGAAACCCACACACACAGCTGCACAACCTGCATACCAAATCCGACACACCAGCTGTGTGTGTGTGTACATCATCATCACCCCCACTGTCGTCCTGCGTCCTTCAGCTCTGCAGAAAAATAAAGGTGCTTTTCAGCCTATCGGGTCTGATTGCCATCACCACAGGAGTAATTCCTCACTGTCTCCCAGGCTTCACTCTGATCCACTGAGCGCCTCAGTTGTCTTTACAGCCGCTCGTGGACCTGACAGACTCTTTATGAAAGAATCTCCAGACTTGATGCAGCGGTAGTTAACCTGAACTGACTCTGTGCTTAGCGGGTTTCATTTCGGTGGAGGAGAATTCATCATTCAATCCATCTTTGAGAGTAACTGAGTTGTAGCAACTTACCGTTGAATTAACTTTAATTTCCTATTAAGGCAAGGCAAGTTTATTTATAGAGCACCTTTCCGCACAGAGCAACCCAAAGTGCTTTACAAAATAAGACATTTAAGAACAATATACAGATGAAGCACATTATAAAAAGGCATTTTAAAAACAAGCATTTAAAAAGCAAAGATAATAAAATCAACACAACAGGTATAAAATACATGGATAAAAAGCCATACTGCAGTAAAAATGTGAACGACTCATCTAAATGCAGCGTGAAAAAGAAACGTTTTTAGTCTCGATTTAAAAAATATCAACAGTTGCAGCTGACCTGCAGGAATCAGGGAGTTTGTTCCAGATGGTCGGGGCATAAAAACTAAATGCTGTCGCTTCTCCTTGTTAGTTCTGACTCTTGTAGCAGAAGAGCAGACCGTCCCAGCAGACCTGAGACTCCTGGATGGTTCATATTTTTGCAGGAGCTCGTTAATATAAGTTGGTCCTAAACCATTTAGTGCTTTAAAAACCAGTAATAGTACTTTAAAATGATTCAAGCAGTTGAATGAAAAGGTTTTTCTATAAACCTTTTATCCAGAGAATATGTATGCAAACATTGTCTTAGCAGGGGCACATTCCTTCCCTCACCTCCATCCAAAAACAACCTCCATATTCCGACTGGCTGCTCCCGATGTCAGTTTATTTTAAAGTACTTGTTGCCGTTCACCCTCTGCGACCTAAGAATGTTTGCTGAGGATTTACAAGGCGACGTTAACAACAGCAGCCCAGGCGTCTCCATTCTCTTCCCATTTTCACACTCCAAAGCCTGCACCGAAAACATCCCCTTCGCTTTAAAAAGTTCAGGCACGCTCGTTCGGTGATTGTGACATTGGCTTTGCATTGCACAAGCAAAGAGGCCTAAGGGAAGTGGAAGGTCAGGATTGTTCCAGTATTGCTCATTGTGTAGAGACATTGGTGGAAAAAATAAGGGATTACATGCATACGCTAAATATGTAAACACTTGACTTTCTAAATAACATGTCAATCAGCTGTGTGAAAACCAGAGCTGCAGAGCAGAGGCCCTTTTTCCACAGCGATCCCCTCGTAGCTCTGAATCAGAACTTATTTATGAAATCCCGGCGGCAAACACGGGCAGATCCTGACCGCAGTGCTAAGACTTTTCAGCATGCAGAGGGGCGAGCGAAAGCAAACACGGCTCCAGGTTTTTATGAGAAAAAGGTCCGGTTGAACAAGGAGGCATTCATGTGCTGATTCATACCAGCCTGTAGCTCAGTGAGAGGACAGCCATCTGCTATCACACTCCCCCGCTAAGAGCCTGTTATAGAAGGACGAGCCGTGGATCGTCATGTACATGTGACATCCATATAGACTTACTGGAACTAACACCTTTACTACAGGAAGAGAAAACATCTCCGTTTTTTCTGCCTGCTCAGGTGAACTTGCTCTTCACCGCTCCATGTAATATGATTGTTCTGTAACAGAGCGGTCGATCCCCCGCAGCGAGGTAATGCTATGGCTTGTGAGGGCTATCGAAAAGATTGCCTCTGTAAGTCAGAATTCACCTGTGAGGGAACAAAGGAAGATCATGCCCGTCTACTGTCATGTAAATGAGGGTGGTGGTGATGTGGTGGAGAATGCTAAAAATAACTGTGGTTCATAGTTGTTGCGTTTTAGCCTACTCTATGTTTTCGTAATTCCAGCCCACTCTCCACTCTATTTAACCTTTTTGCCGAAACAATAAAACAGATTTTTAGAAACACTTGTACGCCACGAACAGACAAAGTCAAAAACTTGTGAACATGTGTGAATAATTAAACTAGCTCATCACATGGCCAGAAACACCAAATGAATGCTAATGGGGTAATAAGTCTGGTGTCGTGTTGTTAGTTCGTTAGCCCTAAGTCAATGCAGCTTTAATAAAAAACATTAAAACATGCACCTATAAAACATGCACCTATAAAAGTACATTTAAACTCAAACCAAGGATTTATTAAAAAGTATACACAGTGTTTTTGCAAGCTCTCTTTTTGGCAAGAGGTGCTCTGAAGCCGCTGCCTTTTAGAAGTGCTGTTGGAGCTAACACCTTAAAGGTAAATATGAAGAGCTGAAGAGCTGATTGAAGCTTACTTTTTAGATTCAGGGTATATGCAGGAATCCTGAAGTCAAATGTAATACCTTTTAAGACCTTTTCTAAGACCCTTTCCACACATTTTAAGACCTCATCGCCACTTTGAGTTCTAACCGGTTACCTTGGCGACACACTTTACCTCACATTGACTATATACAGTATTGATTGTCCTTCCTCCTTATCAGATGACGTCAAACCCAACGGGATGTCATAAATAAACTACACAGAATCACACTACACACCTACGCAATGATTACATTCAGGCACACTGTAGAATACAACCTCTTTGGACAATTTATATACTTATTGAAAACAAGCTACAAAATGTAATAACTTGGAAAATGCCGTTTAATACTTTTTAATAGCCTTCATTTTCACTAAATTGATTCATCAACTTTTAATACTTTTTAAGACCCCGCGGACATACAAGAAATATTAAAGAAAATATTAATTTTATTTAGCCTCACACTAAAGCTATATTATTATCATTGTTATAATATACAAGCTGCATTGTAAAAACTGTAACAATAATTAGAAAAAAAACTTCATCAGATTGCAACGGCCATTACGTGTAATTAAAAAAACAGAAATGGTCTTAATTGGATCAAATTCAAATGTTGACCTTTGATGACCTCTACCAAATTCAGAGAAATGTAATCTAATATCAGCATCAAGACTATTTACCTTAAATGTTTACTTGTTATATTTTGTTTTTAGNTACTGTGGACCAAATCTGTTGACATCTGTTTTCATTAACTGGCACATCGATCACCTCAGCTATTAACAAAACTAAGTAAGGGGGCTATATATATATATATATATATATATATATATATAGCCCCCTTACTTAGTTTTGTTAATAGCTGAGGTGATCGATGTGCCAGTTAATGAAAACAGATGTCAACAGATTTGGTCCACAGTAGAACTAAAACACTTCACTAACCTTTAAAATGACAAAAACTAGTCATAGGGCAAAATTGTAACATTTCTAAGATGTTTATGCTTTATTCTCATCTGCAGTTGAATCATGGGAAACGTCGAAAGTCAGAATGGGGACAGTGGTTTCTACGGCAACGCGTCGGGACACATCTCCCGCAAACAGACGTCCAGGTCACTCCGGCTCCCCAACAAGCAGCCAATCACGCGTCGTTCCCGGCTCTCTTCTTCAGTGAAACAGGAACACAGAAACTCTGACGCCTCAACTCGCTCCTCCAGCACCCCCAGCATCCCACAATCCTTAGCAGAGAACGGACTGGAGCCTTTCAACGCAACCGATGCACTCGAAGAGTTCGGCATCAACCCTCACTGGATACAGCGCGTCGCTATGACGATGAGGCCGGAGTCCTATCAACACGATGACGACAACTTGGCCACGCCGACTCCTGAAACCTCGGAGGCGGACACCGTCGCTCAGGACGGAGGGGAGGACTCCACGGGGGAGGGGGAGGTACTTGGGGAGGAAACGTACCTACAGCGAATGACTGAGGGTCCCCGGGAGGGAGGGAGTTTCAAGAAGAAGCGGTCCAAGTCGGCGGACATGTGGAGAGAAGATAGCCTGGAGTTCTCTATGTCGGACCTGAGCCAGGAGCATCTGACCAGCACTGAGGAGATCATAGATGGAGGAGAGGAAGAGGAGGAGGAGCAGTTTGCATGTCCAAGAGGCAATGCAGGTGAGGATGGTGAACACTCACACAGTCGATTAACCTCACAGAATACAAATCAAATGTTCTCATGTAGTATTTCACATTTTTTAGTGACAAAGACTAAAAACAAACGTGCTTTCTCCATTAAGTTCCAGCCGAAATCCTAAATTAACCAACTTTAATTAATACAGTAGACAGAAAAGTTTCTAAAATGTTAACTCAGTATATGTATTTTTTATATATAGATATTTTTTTACTGATGGTTGATACAAATGTTCTCATAGTGTATGTGGATATACTGTATGTGTGCAGGGGTGTTAGCTTGATTTGACTCGCATTACAAGTGATGAGGGGGAAGGTGGGACAAATTGAACAGAGACACTCTGACACAATTTCAGAAAAACCTACTGATTTAAGGTTAGCTGCCATCCATCAAATTCAGGAGTTCAGTTGATCACATGATTGTTAGCTTAACCGGCGCTGTGCAGGAGATCAACGCTACAGTAGGCAGCAGCTGGTAACTGCTGCTGTAAGTGCTGCACCAGGGGGCAAGCCATCTCAGAGTAATGGAAGGGCTTGCTACGCGCACACACACACACACACACACACACACACACACACACACACACACACACACACACACACACACACACACACACACACACACACACACACACACACACACACACACACACACACACACACACACACACACACACACACACACACACAGACATTTGCACACTGCCCTGCAATAACCACCTGTGTGTGTTCCAGGCGCAGCTGAAAGGGCATCGTCTCTGGACCATCTGTGCAGCCAGCAGAGTCCCGGCCTCAGGGGGCAGAGGAGCCGCTACGCTAAGAGCCGTCGGGAGGCCCAGTGCGATGGAGATGAAGAAGGGGAGGGGTTGATGTCTCCAACTGAAGAAGATGGTGGCGGGTACGGAGCATTCACGCTCCCCTGCCGACGCTCCCACTGCCTCTCAGAGGGCCTGGGGGGGCTCGGCATGCCGTCTGCACCGTGCCCGGCTTTCCAGGGTCGGCGTGCACAAACGACTCAGGTTAGATCACTTTTTATACATTTAGGAAACATTCAACAACATGAATCAGTTTAAAAGTGTACTTCTCTGTGGTATACTGGCTCTTCTGTCTCTCCTTTATACATGCATAGCCCTTAAAATAGATTGATAGAGCACTTTGTTTACCAGTTGTATCCAGGAAGTTCATAAGGTTCACAGACATGACAGAGGACAAAAATTTACATTTTGTTGACAACCATAGACGTTTCCTGTGTGTGCTCATGCTGTGCAGTTGTGTGTATGTGCATGTTGTATGCACATCCAAGTGAGTGTGTATATTTGTGTAGCGGGGAAAGGGATTACAAGGATTCAGATGAGAGTTGCTGTGGGGCTACTTGTCCATGTTGGCCTGGTTTCTCCGTTCCCCCTCCGGAAATTAAAGCATGAAAGCATAATACCTTTCATGCCCCTTTCAATAACCATACACAGGGTCCTAACACGCATACATATACACACAGAGACATGTTGAACATACTTTTTTTACGGTCTTACAAAAGCAGGTTCAACCAGAGGATAAAGAAAGAAGCAAGTCAGTGGATCACCAAGAACGCAAATAATAAGAAAAGCCATGTGCAAAAAACGAAACTACCATCCCTAGAATGAAGATTGGTCATGTTCTCCCTGTAGTTATCATGTGTCATTGATTAAAGTTGCTTAATCAGAAGTAAGTGCTAAAATAGCAACCCAGGCTTTTCTTTATAACTCATTCCCAGAACCCCCAAGCATCCTTGGATCACAAAGCACCCTAAGTGTTTATTATAAATTCATTTAGCCAGGCTTAGGGGGTTTATAGACCGGATAAAAATAGACTGATAACACAGCAAAACAAAGAGAAAAAGAACAGAGGGACTTTGTTTAAAGAAAAGTGTGAAAGCAGAGAGCGAGAAAGCTTTTTCTTAGCAGCAATGCATGCCAAAACATGTGCACCAACTAGGGCTGCTCGATTAATCGTATTTGAATCGCAATTACGATTATGGCTTGCAACGATTACGAAAACAACGTAATCGAAATAAAACGATAATTTTTTTATTATTACTTTTTTTTCAATTTTTTTTCACTTGAATTATACTTAAAGTTCAGGGTAATCAACTGTTAAAAACATACTGTTGAAAAAAATGTTTTCAAAGTAAATGGATAATCGTTTTTAATAATCGTGATATCAATTATTGACCCAAATAATCGAGATTATGATTTTTGCCATAATCGAGCAGCCCTAGCACCAACCCACATACAAACACGCACAAATGTAAACCAAGAGAACATTTGTGTAGCTTAAACCGTGTTGTAGCTTTCCAAATATATCAGTTTCTGTCAAAGCATTTATAATCTGTAATTAAATCTGTTCTGTTTCTTTTCTGTTTGTTTCTGGCTCACAGGACATCTCGGGTGTTTTGGGTGAGGGAAGTGAGTATGGGGACAGTGGCATCGACGGCGTCACCACGGAGATAGACGGGTATGGAGAGTTGGTGTCCCGGCGCTGTAAGGCCATGTCGGCATCGTTCTCCGTGTACTCTGCTACCGAAAGCAGCGTTTTCAACGGCAGCGACAGCGGCAGCAGCAGCGCAGGAGGAGGAGAGGGACGAGGCGGCGAGGGAGGGAGGGGAGGAGTTTATGAGAATTACCGAAAGGAGCTGGACAATCAAGCCTGGGTTAGTCAATTAGCACATGTCTGTCTTTATTAATGACACATCCAACATGTTGGTTATCACTCATACTGTCAATCATTCCCTCCTCAGACACATCAGGGTAGGGACTGCACGGAGGAGGGCGGGTCCGCTGTTAGCGATGAGCGCAGCAGCGGCACACTCAGCAGTGCATATCCATCGGACGCTCTGATTGGCTGTGCACAAGGCACAGTCAGAAAAGCAGGGGCTCTGGCCGTGAAGAACTTCTTGGTTCATAAGAAAAACAAGAAGGTGGAACCTGCAACGAGGCGCAAGTGGAAACACTACTGGGTTTCTCTGAAAGGTGTGCATAGCTCTCGTATTTTTAGGTTTAAAAACGTATTTTTTAAATGTGTTTTTTTGATAAGGTCATGCAGCAGTATGTCACTTTCAGATAAACATCGTCTTAACCTGACCCAAACCCTGTCTCACGCTCTCTCTCCTGTTAAGGCTGTAATCACATCAGACTTCACACAGCCCATGCCCTTGCTTGTCACCTCTACCGTCCTCTCTCAGCCTCTTCTGTGTGGCCTTCCATTTCCTCTCCCAGGCCTCATCACAATTTAATTTTACGGCCGCACCCGTGTCGAATCCAATCTCATCCTTGTTAAATGCATGAGATACAGCATTTGAAGCGGCATTTCTGCAAGCTTCCTGTCCTCATCCACTCCCCTAATGATAAATAAATCAGACTGTCTAATGTTAGCAGAGAGCCCATGCTTCCGATTAGTCTGCCTAAATACCAATTAAGGAGTAAATGCTTTATAAGCACAAAGGGACAGCATTTTTTGTGGTTATTTGGTAGTCTGTATTTTTCACACATTTCATATTTGTAAATTACTTAAACGTAGTGCTGAAAAGCCTTGTCTTTTGTAAGTGGTTCCAATGTAATTGAACACAATCGTAAATACAGTACCTAATAGAACATTTGTAAGCCTTCCAGTTTTTTTTTCTTTGTTCTTTTAGGCTGCACACTTTTCCTGTACGAGTCAGACTGTCGCTCTGGGATCGACCATAACAGCGTTCCCAAACATGCACTGTGGGTGGAGAACAGCATCGTCCAGGCCGTGCCTGAACATCCCAAAAAAGACTTTGTTTTCTGCCTCAGCAACGCAGTGGGAGACGCCTTCCTCTTCCAGGTGAGAGACACACTGGTATTTAAAACACGAGGCATAATCATGCACTTCCTTTAAAAACAAGGGGGGAAGGGACGTTTTCTACTCACACATACATAACTGTGTGTGTGCGATTTTGTGTGTGTGTGTGGCACAGAAGTACATGACATTTAGACATGTGTGGGATGAGCCAGGCCAGTGTCAATGTGTTTGTTTAATGTGTGACATGTTTAAAGGCCACACTGTCATAGTGTGACAGTGATCCACCACAGTGACCATTGTGTCATACTAAAATGTGTCTATTTATATGCATGGCAGCTGTCAACAGTGACATTCAATCAATGAATGAAGAGATATGTATTAAGATAATGAGATTATAGTGACCACCTTCTCCAAGGCTAATAATGGGAATACTACTTCAATTCTTTTAGCTGTCATTTATTTTTATTTCTACGACTTATTCAATGTACATTTTTCCATTTCCTGTCAGACGTCAGGCCAGACGGAGCTGGAGAACTGGATCACGGCGATCCACTCTGCGTGCGCCGCGGCTCTGGCCCGGCAGCACCACAGAGAGGACACAGTGAGACTGCTGCGAACAGAGATCCGCAAGTTAGAGCAGAAGATCGACATGGACGAGAAGATGAAGAAGATGGGAGACATGCAGCTGTCGACCGTTACCGACGCCAAGAAGAGGAAGACCATATTGGAGCAGGTACGGAGCAGTGTTAATTTTGGCAGCTGTTTTTGATTTAGTCTTAGTCTTTAGACGAAAATGGTTATTAGTTTTAGTCACATTTTAGTCATTCCTATCCTTCGTAGTTTTAGTCTAGCTTTAGTCGACGAAAACTCAAAACGTGTTAGTCTAGTTTTAGTCGATGAAAAATTACATTTTAGTCAACTGTTAATCAAAATGTGTCTCTATACTCTGAACGCTCCGTCCCCGGCAGATCTCTGTGTCCGCTGCAGCATGTCTGTTAGGCCCCGCCCCCCGCACACAGATAGACACAGGAGAGGTTTCTCAATACTCAAATTTCCCCTCCTCGACTCCTCGGTCCTCCGGTAGTGACCCGGAAATGAATTTCAGCGCGCCATGTTGAAGGACATTTAATTTCTCTAAATGCACTTCGAGGACCGAGCATCGAGCATCGAGGACGCTCTCAGGAGGAGCTCTAACCGAGGATACACTGATGGGTCCTCCACGGTCCTCCACGGCTCCTTCGTGGATGCATTTCCGGGAACAGAGATTTTTCAAAGAGGCGTGACGCACGGCCGGACTTACCTCAGCCAATGACGGCTCTGCATGCATCCCCTGGATATTATTTTATGAACTGCTTTCATCGCGACGCGATGTTTACAGGGAGAACAGCTGTGAGGTCCGTGCAGAAAGTAGAGCAGTGTGTATAATATATATATATCACTCAGTATAACAGGCCTACTCTCTTTATTTGCTTTAGTTTAGTAGATATCTACAAACAAAGAGTCGATATTTTTCTAAAACCATTTAGTGCTTCACATAATAAAATACACAACGGCTGTAGCCTGATTATGCTTTAGGAGCTGTAGGTGTGTGTGGTACAGTGCGTAGGTGTGTGTAGTACAATGTGTAGGTGTGTGTGGTACAGTGTGTAGGTGTGTGTGGTACAGTGCGTAGATGCAGCGGACAGACAGGTCTCAGTTGGTTTGGTGTCCTCTGCTTACTTTTAATACTTGTAAACACAACTTTTGGCCCGTAATTTATTTTCCTCATTGTAGCGACCAGAGAGGGAAGGGGGGGGGATAGATCCAGTCTCTGATAGTGTTACGTTATTATGCGAGTGCTCTGATTGATTCTGAAATTGTATATATTTCTATAAATATATATATATATGTGTGTGTGTTTGTGTCCGCATCTGTAGCCTGTTATTGTCTCATTATATCGCACTGTGAATGAATCAAAGTAAATATATAAGTCATCATGAACACATCTGTCCATCAGACAGAGGGCTGCTGTGCCTCCTGTCATCATTAATGGACGTCTCTTTAAAATGACCGCTCAGAGGAGAGGAGTTCTCATTTCTNGCTATTAGCTTAAAACTCGTCAGGCATTAGGAAGGACCACTTCTTCTTCAGGGCAGGGAAGGCTACGCAGTACGCAGGCTAATGTCCCGCAGCGGCTGCCTCTCTGGTGGACTCCGGTACTGCACATTACTCCCGAGACATTTCCAAAACAAAAAAGTTTTTTTTTTTTTTTTGAAGTGAAACATCCGGGGCTTTTCAGAAAACATCCGGGGCTTGAGCCCAAGTAGCCACCCCCTAGCGCCGCCACTGGCAGAAGCGTTGAAGCGGCAACGCACGCCACCGTGTGTAGGGGCCGTAAGAATGGCCTGCTCTACTATTTTAAAACGGAATTGCAGTTTTATTGCTTATGGATTATCAGAACATTTCAAAGGGGACACAGCCACATTGGATATTAACCTATGGATTAACTACATCATCGTTGTTATTGTTTTAATACCATTGAAGACCAGTTTTGACCAGACAAAACCAAGCTAAGCCATGTTAGCGTTGTGGGCTACCTAGCGCCACTTATTTTGATGTACGTTTTTGTTGATAACGTTGCAAGTTTGTATCTTTCAGTGTTGAGGTGGGCACCGTTAGATTTTGTGTCTTTACGATCATAAACGATGTGTTGGATTAGGAGCTAGGATGAGTAATAAGGGAGCTAGAAGGGATTTTCGGTGCAGTAATAGGTTAGCATTTTTTGCTCGGGGCTAATTCAGAGGCTCACTGTTAGCATTGTGTTTTTTTGTTTTTTTTAAAGGAAAAATATCAGTTAAATGAGTTTTTTCCCGTTATATGGATATACAATATTCATAGTTTATTCAATATTAAGGTTCCTTAGACGTTGTTTCCTGCAAATGACGCTATTTTGCCCCGGAACCGGGTCCGTGGGGCTTAAGAGGTTTTAAGGGTATATGCTGTTTTTAGTTAAATAAAACGTTATTATTAGACATGCATTCTTGCACCCAACACCATTACTTATTGTGATGTATATTTATTTTTCTATTGGTAAATATGGCTGACTATCTTGCACAATGTTTGCAAGGAATTGCATGCAAGTAAAACACAGTCACTCACTTTTATTAGCCAAAAATTGAGTGACTGTTGTGGGTTCTCATTTATGCAAAAGACACTGAAATACTTCCATTGTATTTCCACAGGTGTGTCTAATAAAACAGCTGATTGCTCCAGTAATTATTGCAATGCAGTGTAGCAATTAGTAAGGCTATTAGTTACACCTGTGTCTTAGTTTCACTCAACATTTCGCCTCCAGGTCATATGAAAACTAGAATTACCGACTTGAAGTTGAATGCCTCTGCCAACCAGTGTAATTGCAGTTTACATCTATTTATGTTCAAAATGTCACCACTCCTATTAGACATTAGTGTGAAATGTTCTTAATTAGCATATGAATTCCTGGGTTACGGATACAAATAACGTGAATTGAGTTTGAACTTTGAAGTATATAATAATAGAGCATGACATTTGTGTGACGGTGTCAAGTGTGTTAGTTGACCCTTGACTCCCAACCTACATTTTAGTTCTACACAGTATCCTGTGTGACCTCATGTGGGAGTGCAGGCAAGCTATTGATCACCATGAAGGCTTCTCAATTCTCTAATTTCCCCTCTTCTAATCCTATCCTCGACTCCTATCCTCGTGACTTAGTCCCGCCCACAGGAGTTGCGATCCGAGGAGCCGAGGAGGGGAAGCGTGGAGAGAGGAGGGGAAGCAGCAGGCGGTTAGAGAAATGAGAAATCCTCTGCTCTGAGCGGTCATTTTAAAGAGACGTCCGTTAATGATGACAGGAGGCACAGCAGCACTCTGTCTGATGGACAGAACTGTGTTCATGATGACTTATATATTTACTTTTAAGTCATTGACAGTGCGGTATAATGAGACAATAGCAGGCTACAGATGCGGACATATACACACACATATATTTATATAAATATACAATTTCAGAATCAAACAAGTATGAGGGCACTCTCATAATAACGTAACACAATCAGAGGCTGGATATATCCCCCCCTCTCTCTGGTCGCTAAAATGGGGAATTGAAATTACGGGCCAAAAGTTGTATTAAAAGTAAGCATAGGACACCAAACCAACTGAGACCCGTCTGTCCGACGCATCTACGCACTGTACAACACACACACCTACACACTGTAGCCTACCACACACACCTACAGCTCCTAACGCATAATCAGGCTACAGCCGTTGTGTATTTTATTATGTGAAGCACTAAATGGTCTATAATATCCAGGGGGTGCATGCAGAGCTGTCATTGGCTGAGATAAGTCCGGCCGTGCGCCATGCCTCCACGTTCCCGGAAATGCATCTGCGGAGGAACCATCAGTGTATCCTCGGTTATAGCTCCTCCAGAGAGCCTCCTCGATGCTCGGTCCTCAATGTGCATTTAGAGAAATTAAATGTCCTTCAACATGGCGCGCTGAAATCCATTTCCGGGTCACTACCGGAGGACCGATGAGTCGAGGAGGNCGTTCCTTGGAAGAGGCGTAGAGGTGGGTGTTTGTCGTCTGCTGATGGACTTCAATGCAATCCCTCCCCGTCGAGGCAAGCACTGTAATTCTCTCCGGTAGTCCATCAGCAGACGACAAACACCCACCTCTACGCCTCTTCCAAGGAACGAGGGGACCGTGCGGCAGTTTCAGTTCGATTTTTTTTACCCAGTCAACATGTCCGTTAAAGTTTAAATCTTCCGGACAAAATTAGAAATGTGCCGGTGAAAGGTCCTCTTTGTTATTTATTGAGCTTTAAAACAAATGAATAATGACTCTATATAATCATATATAAGAATAAAACACGGAGGACGGAGATCTCTTTTTCTCCCCCTCTTCTGACAGCCCAGCAGCTAAGCCCCGGATCTCCTACAATCCTAAATCCGCCACTGGCTTCTGCCCATTCACTTTGAATGGGGTGACGTCACGATTCGCCGAACTGCATTGTGGGAGCAAAGCGTAGCTTCTCTCGCGGTGCTCGCTGCAAAAGTAGAGCAAAGTTCTACTTTTGCCGCCTCGACGGAGGTGTCAGCCAATCGAATCATATGCCAGTACAAGCTCTAGCCAATCAAACCGCGTGCTTGTGTGTCTGGGGCGGGAGATTCATGAGATTGGTCGAGTTTCAGCCCCCTCCCCCGCCGGCAAGCGACAACGCACTCCGCCGTGTGTAGGGGCCGTTATGCTCTGTAGCTTCATTGAATGCGCGAAGACGCCATCTTTTTTTTTTAACATGAGTGTTTACGGGACGATTTCCCTTCGATTCTATTCGCTCTAACGGTCAGAAAGAGATGTCACATGTCAAAATCGAAGAAGGGGGGCCAGAGATAAGGAAAACCCACCCAAATGGCCCCAGAAGAGGGTTTTTTGTGCTAAATCTGTCTAAAAAGGTCAAATATCACTTGTTTTGCATCAATCTTGATACAGGGTACTTATTATATGTTGTACTTTAGATTCCTAAAGCTTTTAGTCTACCCATCATCCAAGGTTAGTTTTCACTATAAGTAAAAAATATTTTTTGGACGGACACTATCATTTACAGTTTTTTACCATGTCCAATCTGAATTTTCTTTAAAATAAAAAACATCTATATTGATTCTGACTCTTCTACATCCAACTCACAGGTTTATCATTACTTTGAGAAAAAATATTATTAAATTTAACCCTTTTAGAAGGGAAGATATGGTCATTTGTTCTGGGAATATCCTTTTCGAGCCTGCAACCTGAAAAAAAGGCTTGGGGCTTAAGAGGTTTTAAGTGAAACGTAACTTCTGTGTTTTAAGGAAAATGTTGACATTTTGTTTGTTTGTGTTCCGTGCACTTAGCTAACAAGCTTAAGCAGAAGAACAGGCTAACCGTTACATTACTTGACTAAGCGCAACAAAAACGTAGTAGTAAATAAAGTATAGAAAGATAGTTTAAAACACGTAAATCAATTAAACGTACCTTGCTTTCACTCTTGACTGGAGTTGAACTCATACCGTATTACACCCTCCCATTGCTAATTAGCCTTACCACAATTTCCGACTTGCAGTTACCTTCGATACCAGCACCGTCCGTCTGTCACGCCCAACTTTCAAAATAAGAGAATAACAAAATAAAAGCTTTTAAACAAAACAAGCCTCACATGGCATTAAAACAGCCATGTATGGGGGTCATTTATAAATATGATTTAAATCCAATTCTACCAGTTTATTTGATGTCTTCTTTCATTGTATTTTATTGAAGTGTTCTTTATGCATATGCACACACAGTATGGACATTGCACTATATTGGACATGTTGAGCGAAAATGAATAAATAAAGTGCTTAGTGCTTATTTTATTTATAATTGATTATAAAGATATTTTTAGTCCTGGAGGTGTTCTGTCTTCTTCTCTTAAGAACGTATTTTCTTATTTATCTCTACCCACACATTTGTCAACTGTTCTTTCTTTGTCCCATCATCCTTGGTTGCCCAATTTCTCTCTTTCTTTCTCCTCAGCCACATCTCCAGTTGTCCCGCTAAGGCTTATGGTCCGAAGGTAGCTTGAGTTGGCCTCAGAGGGTCACTGTGTGTGAGACTGAAAGAGAACGAGAGTGTGTGTGAATTACACTGTATAGTTTCCACATGTTGGTGTATTGGTGAGGGCCATTTAGCCGTGGATGAAGTATCTGTTTCTAGTACTCCTAATGGCATTATTACAGCAGGTGGCAGGGCCCATTATTAATAGTAAATGACAGAGCCTCTCTCCTAAAGGTCTTAATATTGATCCAGTCTATCCTGAGACTAGTCTTAATGATGATGTTCCTGCATGTCTTTCTCCACAGCACCGTAATCAAGGCCAGACACACATTTACAACCTCTGAGTCACGATAAAGAGAAACAAGCCCACGCTACAAATGAGACTTTAAAATCAAAAGACGGAGGTTATAGGAATTGCCATCCCTATTCCTCGTACAATCCTTCTCCTCCTACAGTGAGCAAATTAATTCCTCTTTTCCCCTCACCTCTCATGCTGATGAGATAAATACTGATGGACAAGAGGAGGTGTGTGTTTTTGTGTATGTGCTGGTTGCTGTTTTGAATGCAGCTATGGAGATGTTTGTCACCCCTGATTGCACTCTACAGCTCAAGCTGCGCTCCTCACACAACGAGCAGGATGCATCTTAATGAGACTGAAAGCAACAGAATGACGGAGAGATGCAGAAGAGGAAGAAGAAAGAGTTGAGTATTGAAACTCTGGAGGAAGGGCAAAGGTTTGTGTGGGCTCAAACACTTTACCCTCTGTTCTATAGCAGTCATTCACACTAATGGACAGAAAATGGAGAGAGATACCAAGGAGACTATACAGAGAGTAATAAGAAACCCATTGGTGTGGGGGCACAGCGGTTAATAACCTGATGGGTTAAAACCAGCAGGGGTGTGTTCCCGGTCAACACAAAGAATAATAATTGTGGCTATGACTGAGAGAAGGCCGCCCTCTGAGCACCATAATGATTTTACACTCCAATGCTTAATTTAACATCAGTGGCCTGATAGTCTAAAGCCTGTCTTTGTCACTACAGGAACTTTTCATGCTGATAAATGCAAACCGAGATGGATTGAACTCAGCTAAACTGTAGTGACACGATTGCTACTTTATTTTCTATAGTAGGCCTATAGAGTGAACTGAAGGAACAGAAATATTTCAAACGGGCCATAACTCACACATCTTAGCAAGTCAGAAGGAAAATTAAAAGCTCTTCACAAAGCGGACATTTAGCTTGACTCATTTCATTCTGACGGTGATCATACTGTACGTCGATCCAAATATTTGTTGTTATGATATTGGAAACAGCTAGTCATAATAAAATGCATATTTGGATCTGACAATGCTGACGAAGTACTGATGTTAGCACTAAAATTGAAGGACTTTGAAGGACTTTCTAAATTATTATTATTATTAGGCTAAAGAGATGCTTTAGTAGCAGCTTTTATAGTTACAGAGCATTAAAGACAGCAATGATAACTTTTAGATGAAATGCTAAAGGTTTAGAACATTACCATATTGATACAAAATACAGTGCCGTCAAATAAACAGCCTCCCCTCTGAAATGTCAGTGCAGTGAAGTGAAGTCTTACTGAGTATTAACTGATTAGACAGCTACTGTCCTCTACTGGTGCGAAGCATCAACTACAGTGATGAAATAATGCTCAATGCAAATGAAGCACTTAAACTCATCAGCTGAGATTTCTCCAGTAAGAGCTTACTGCTGCAAAGAAGATGATTATATCAGCGACGACATTTACTGTAGGTTTATATCCAAACGGTCCAGCAATTACACCTTTATCTTTCATTCACTAATACATTACCACTAAAACCCGTATTATATGCAGAGGTGGAAGAAGTACTCAGATCTTGTACTTTAGTAAAAGTAGAAGTACAAAAGTGTAGGAATACTCTGTTACGTTAAGTAAGTCCTGCAATCAAAATGTTACTCAAGGAAAAGTACAAAATTATTAGTTTCAAAATATACTTAGTACCGAAAGTAAAAGTACTTATTATGCAATTTGGTCAAGAACAATATGTGTATCAAAGCTGGTAAAGGTGCAGCTAGTTTTAATTACTTTGTATGCTGCAGGGCAGCTTGTGAATTTTACTCCAGGTGTAACATAAGTAATATTTAAGTGTTGATTATATTTGATATAATTAATCCTTATCTTTAAAGTAACCAAAGGTCCAAAATAAATGTATTGGAATATCGCTTGATATGAAAGAACATCTTTTACCTCTGAAATACAGAAATACAAAGTAGCATAAAATTGAAATACTCAAGTTCAGTACATGTACCTCAAAATTGTACTTAAGTAAAGTAATTGAGTAAATGTATAGTTACTTCCCATCTCTGATTATATAATGTACAATGAAAAGGTTAGTGCAGGTAAATTAATAAATAATTTCTTCATTTTTTATTGTAGGAATATAAAAACAAAAGGTTGGCACATAGCTTAAAAGCAGCAGACGAATTAGAAGATTGTCACACAGTTGAGTTGTGAATGTATAAACAGGGCTTTAATTCAATAGCGTGCATAGTCCCTCGTGTTTGTACAGTATACAGTTGGCTCCACTCCAAGATATTCAGCTCAGCAATGATGGTGAGCCTCTTTAGAAAGTCATAAAATCACATTGTTGGTAGCCATCCACCAGCTTCAGTTATGCAGCTGGAGCGGCTCCTGACGCCAGCTTTTATAATCTTTCTCATTCAGATCTGAAGCAAAACTATCAGATTAGCGCTGCTGGCTAATCTGCACTATGTCAATGAATGAAAACCATGCGCTGCCTCCTGTGCCGCCACGCCTGACTGAATAAGATATGATTCTGTGAAACAGGGAGGTGGGGGGGCGTTCTTTAGTATAGGGCTGGCTGTTAACTAAATATACACCATACTGTTTAGAAAGCAGACGATATGTCTTATGCTGAAATTGGTTTTTCTGTGTGTTTGCCAGCAGACTAACAATTCTACACACATGCAAACTGAATCCCTTTCTGTTTACACTGATGAGCCAGATGTCCCGCTGATGCATCTCTGGAGTTGAGACATGGTGTCCCTCAGACCGAGGCCAGGGGGAAACGGGCCGGGATCCAAAAACTTTAGATGGGAGGACGATAGCAACTATTTGACAGCGGTGAAATGTAACTAAGTAAATTGATTTCAGTACAAGCTACATGTACTTGAAGTGATTCAGTTTCATGCCGTTTACACTATGCTAGTCCATTACAAGGTCAAATTATTCTAAGTGACACATGAGGGGCTCCCTGTTATATTCTCTATGGGTCGCTTTCTATAACAAATTAAGAACCTTTAATTTATTACATAGTTGCACTTCAGTAAAATGATGAACACAGGAACTTGCCAGGGGTAGACATTAAGGGTAAAATGCCACTGTCCCTCCGGGCCGGTGGAATTGTATTATCACTGCCCCCACCATTGTAACCACAGGCCCGGAGCATTCGTCCAAAAAAAATCGACTTATAATGACAAAAATTAACACATTTGTTGCAATAGTAATTTATGCACTAACTACATTACTACTTGTACTACAACATTTGAATCATCAGTTCTTCCTCATTTTCCTCAATTGTTCATATTTGGTTTATTAAAATAATGATATTGTGGTCATTGTTAAAAAATGTCTGCTATTATTATGAGTATTATTATTTGTATAATGCGCTTTCTGCCTTCCTGTCATTAGGAGTTAGAAATGTAATGGCTATGTAATAGATTAGATTAGAACCTTCATTATCCTAAACTACTGGGACATTTCCCTATAGCCAATACCTTTATATGTTCTACTCTTCACTTACTTGTCAGCATAGGTCGGCATTGATTGATTGACAGAAGACCTTGTTTATATTAGCATCATAAAACCAGGAAGTAAGCTGCTGGTTCCCTCGACAAAATGCATTGGGATTTCTCCACAGGGTTTTGGAAAATAGCTGGAAATAAGGTCTGTGGGAAACAAACCTGTTTGATAAATGCACAATAAATGCACGTTTTGTTCAGCCGGATAATCTCCACGTTTTGTTGCCCTACTTTTATAATTTTCGAATCATAAATCTAATCGATAGATTATAAAAGGGTTTTAGGACGCGTCACTGCACCTCTTAGCCAACTCCATCGATCAAGCTGGCTGAAACGTTCTCTCCCTCTTCTTCTCATGCTTCCTGACACTCTCCTTTAACTCCTCCGGTGACTTTCTTTTATTTG